TGACTGCACACAACTAGGTAGGATTGTGAGTCAAGTAGAGAGTGTAAAGAGGTTTCATGGTGATTTAGACGAGTTGGGTAAATACATTGCAGATGCAGTATAATAAGGGCAAATGTAAAGTTGTCTAATTCGGCAGGAAAAATGGAGTTCTAGAGTGTTGTTATTTTTATATGGTGATAGATTGAGAAATGTTGATATACAAAGGGACCTGGATATCCTTGTAAACTGTTCACTGAAAGCAAACAAGTAGATAAAGCATTTAGGAAGGCAAATGGTAATTACATAGAAACACAGAAACAGAAAATAGAAGGAGAAATAGGCCATTCTGCCCTGTGTCTGATCTGCTATTCATTAATTATCATTGCTGAGTGTCTAACTCTATAGCTTGTTCCCACTTTTCCCACATACCTTTTTGATCCGTTTAGCCCCAAGTGCTATATTCCATTCCTCCTTGAAATCATAAATGACTGCTCAACTGTTTTTTGCGACAATGAATTTCACAAGTTTACCACTGTGTCTGGGTGAAGAAATTTTCTGTATCCATAAACTGTGGCCCCTGGTTCTGGAATACCCATCACCTGTGAACGTCCTTCCTGCATCTACCCTGTCTAGTCCTGTTAGAATTTCACAGGGTTCAAGGAGATTCCTCATTCTTCTGAACTCCAGCAAACATAATCCTAACTGATTCAACATCTCAGACGTCAGTCCTGCCATTTGCAGAAATCGGTCTGCCGTTTGCTGCACTCCCTCTATAGCAAGAACATCCTTTCTCTGAGAAGGAGACCAAAACTGCAAGCAATACTCCAGTTGTGGTCTCTCAAAGATCTGGTAAAATTACAGCAATGCCTCACTGCTGCTGTACTCCAAACCCTGTCACTACGAAGGCCCACATGTCACTTGCTGCCTTTACTGCATGCTGCACCTGCATGCTTACCTTCAGTTACTGGTGTACAAGGACACCCAAGTCTCATTGCACATCACCCCTCCCCCCACCTCTCAATTTATAGATATTCAGATAATAATCTGCCTTTTTTTTTGCTCTCAAAGTTGATAACCTCTCTCGTTTATCCACATTGCACCACATTAGTTCACTCATTCTGCTACTCCAAATTACACTGAAACAGCACTGCATCATCTTCACAATCATCCTCCCACCCAGCTTTGTATCATCTGAAAGTTTGGAGATATTTCATTTAGTTCCCTCATGTAAATCATTAATATATATTGTAAATGGTTGGGAGTCCCAGCACTGATCCCTGTGGTACCCCACTAGTCACTGACTGCTATTCGGAAAAAGACCTGTTTATTCCTATTCTTTGTTTCCTGTCGGCCAACCAATTCATTATCTATCTCAATGTACGATCCCCAATTCCAAGTTCTAATTTTGCATGCTAATCTCTTATGTGGAACTGTGTCAAAAGCCTTCTGAAAGTCTAAATAAACCCCATCCACTGCCACACTTCATCAAATCCATGAGTTACATCTTCAAAGAAGTCCAGTAGATCTGTCAAGCTTAATTTCCCTTTCATAAATCCATGCTATCTCTGTATGATCCTGGTCACTGGTTTCCAAGTGCTCAGCTATTAAATCTTTTGTTATAGACTCTAGCATTTTCCCACTACTGAAGTCAGACTCGCTGATCTATAATTCCCAATTTTTCTCTCTGCTTTTCCCCTTAAATAGAAGAGTCATATTAACTACCCTTCAATCTGTAGAAATGTTCCAGAGCCAAGAGATTCTTAGAAGATGACCACCAACGAACCCACTATTTCTAGAGCTGCTTCCTTAAGTACTCTGGGATGTAGGCTATTGGGCCCTGAGTATTTATCAGCCTTCAATCCCATCAATTTCCTCAACATCATTTACCTACTAATACTGACTTCCTTCAAGTCCTCCCTCTCACTAAATCCTGTGTTCCCCGTTATTTGTGTCCTCGTGTACTCGGAGCCAAAGTACGTATTTAGTTAGTAGCCATTTCTTTGTTCCCAATTATAAGTTCCCCTGTTTCTGACTGAAAGGATCTGGATCTGTCTTCACCAATCTTTTTCTCTTCACAAACCTATAGAAATTTGTGCAGTCAGTTTGTGTGTTCCCTGCAAGCTTACTCTCATACTCTATTTTCCCTTTATTATTCAATCCCTTTATCCTCCTTCGCTTAATTGTAAACTGCTACCATTCCTCAGGTATGTTGTTTTCTGGCCAATTTGTATGCCTTTTCTTTGGATCTAATACTATCTCTAATTTCCCTTGTAAGCCATGACTTGGCCACCTTTCCTGTTTTACTTGTGCACCAGACAGGAATGAACAATTGTTGCAATTCTGCTTTTTGAATATTTGCTATTGCCCTTCCACTGTAATTCCCATTAAGGAACATAGCATGGGAGCTAACTATCATAGCCAAGTTGGCCTTCGTTACTAGAGGGTCTGGTTAGAGGAACAAGGAAGTCTTATCGCAGTTGTACGGGGTCTTGATGAGACCACACAAAAAGTATTATATGCAATCTTGGTCTCCTTACCTAAGAAAAGGTATAATTACCATAGAGGAACTGCTGCAAAGGTTGACCAGACTGATTTCTAGGATGGCAGGATTATCAAATGAGAAGTTGGGTGGATTGGACTTGTGTTCGTTGGGTTTTAAAAGAATGAGGGTGGACCTCCATTGTAACACAAAATTTAGTCAAAGCTGGATGCAGATGATGCCCTTCCTATCTAGAAGGTCAAGAACAAGGGCCGTGGTTTTAAGATACACTGGGCCATTTCAGACTGAGATGAGGAATAATTTCTTTACTTTATAGGGAAATTATCCTGTGGATTTTTCTACCATAGAAGGGTGTGGAGGAAAAGTCCATGAATATATTTGAGAGAAATAAATTTCAAGAGGTTAAAGGCATCAAGGGATATGGGGAAAGGACTAAGAGTAGGACAATGAGATAGAAGATCAGCCATGATCATTTTGAATGGTGGAGCAGGTTTGACACGCCAAATGGTCTTATCCTGCTCCAATTTTTTCTGTTTCATGAATGAACAAATGAAAAATAAAAAGGACAGCATAGAAGGTTGAGGCCAACAGATCCAAAATTTGTAACAGATCACATAGAAGTTGATAAGAATGAAGCTGAAAAACTGCAGTGATGCTAGTCAGTTAAACCAATAACAAAGATAAGGAGTACATTTGAGTTGCAATGCAAAATTAGTCATCTAGCCAGAGTTGTGATGGCTAAAATAGCTGGGAGACTGAGCTCTGATACCATATCAAGGCAAACAGTTAACAAGTCGAGTAAGATTGTCGGACTTCATAAGGAGGTTGGTAGATGGATTTTCTTTCAAAATAGCCAGTTTTTTTTAATTTTAGGGGACACTGTCACTGCTCAATTTAAGAAAGTTGTTTTTTTTTAGGAAATGAGGAAATAACATTGGACTTTGAGGAATGCCTGTTGGTGGAAAGTTAATGAAATTTGTTATTAGGGATGGAATTATTGAGCATTTGGGCAAACAAGTTAAACAGATAAGCCAGCATGCATTTGTTAAAGGCAAGCCACATCAAATGAATCTTGATTATATTTTTCTCGAAGGGGGTGCAGCACATATTCCCCAGAGTGATACCCAGACTTAGAGTATTAAGTTATGAGGGCAGATTGCATAGCACACCCCTATACCTTATCTGTGTGACTCTGCATTTTCCATGGCCAATCCACCCAACCTGCACATCTTTGGACAAGTTGAAATGAATAGTATAAATGCATTTAAGGGAAATCTGTAAGCATTGGAGGGAGAAAGGAATAGGGTTACAATGATAGATTTAGATGAGGAAAGATAGGATTTGATTTACTTTTTTTTGATTTAAGCTTTATTGTCACGTGTACTCAAGTACAGGAGTACAGTGAAAAGTGTACAACGTTGCCACATACAGTGACATCTTAGGCACGAAGGTATCGCTGTATAAAACTTGGGTGCAAGTACTCACGTAGAGAAACAAAGTTGAAAGGAAAGCATTACTATTGTTCTTAATAAAATTAAAAGTTAACATTACAGTCCTTCCTAGTATTAAGTGGAAAAATAAAAGTAAAAGTTCAACAGTCTTAAGTGCACTCCCTGCAAGGGCTCGGTCTCCCCCACTTTGGCCCGCTCTCCGGGAAACCTCAGGCTTCCTGCTCTCGATCCCACAGATGCCGGGGGACTGCCCTCCCCAACATGTTAGGTTCAAGTCCACAGCTGCTCCCACGCACCAGACCTCCAGCCGACACCACTTGAGACCCCTGGCTGCTGCTACACTCCCCTCAATGCCATTCCTGTTGCGGCCTCAAGTGGAACAGAAGCCCTGACGTAGTCTGGACAGACTTGTTTGTTTGTTTGTTTGTTTTTGTGCCTTTTGCATGTATAAAGCTTAACCTAATTTCGAAAGCTAAAAGTGCATTTTTAAAAAAATCTATTTTCTAATCAACCTGTTCAAAGATGTTATTACACATGTCTGGAACAGGTGGGACTTGAACCTGGGCCTCCTGGCTCAAAGGTAGGGATACTACCAGTGCACCATGAGCCCCCTTAAAAGGACCCCCTAGTGTTACATGTTGACTTCGATTAGCTGAACAATAACTGAAGATTTTATTGAGTGTTTGTTTGAAATTCATGTGCTGTTGTTCTTCATGTTACATTTGGCTATTGATTCTCTTTTTAGCGCAAATCATGTGTTAATGTGTAGACAGCCAAGAGAAAAAGCCATACAACACATTAAACCAATGCTGCTGTATTTATCTCTAGCAGATGTCAAACGTGAAGGCTTGTAATTTACTTACTACAATAACTAATAATTCTTTTTTTCTCTAAATCTAAGTGGGATAAAACATTCCAGTGCACTTCCTGCTTCCTATACTTTCACCATAATGTAGATGGAAATATATTTTATATAATAGTCGGTTATAATAATTATGGAAATCATTTTCTGCACCTCCATTGCAGAAAATACCACTGAGCTGTTTCTTTTCATTATTTTTCTTTTGTTGCAGGAAACCTTTAAGATTCGTGCACGAGCAGTTCTCTTGGAGATTCTTCTTGCAGATGGGAAAAAGCTTTTGATTGACACCCACACAACTCACTCAGCAGAGCAGATGCTGGAGGTAATTTTTCTCATTGATCTCCATTAGCCCCCAACACTCTCAAAGCAGTGTATATTGCTTTAACTGAAGCGGTCAGGCACTTGTTTGACATAGTCTCATGACTCTGTTTTATATTGCACATCAGATACCCTTAGTCTCTGGTCCTTATTAAGGGAATATGACCATTTAAGATGAAAAGTTGAATGGAGTTCCTGCCTGCTCTATCACAATGATGTATAAGACCTTTTGACTCGGCATTAGTGAAAAGCAGGTGATGTTAATCCCCAAAGTCCTAGCTAATAATTCTTACTCAACCAGCATCAGTGAAGCACATTTTCTGGTCATTGTTGTTTGTGGAACATTTGCATAAAATATATACAACCCAGAAGGTGGCCATTCATCCCATCATGTCTGTTCCTGCTGAAAAGAAGCTATCATCTAATCTAATTTTTAATCTCTTGGTCTGTAGCCTTGCAAGTTATAGTACTTGGAATAATTCCAAGTAGTTTTTATATGTGAGGAGAGTTTCATCCTCTACTATCCTTTCAAGTAGTGAGATTTTAATCCCCACCACCTCTGCCTGAAAGCATTTTCCCCGATTTTCCTTCAATCCTTCCACCAATTTCTTGAAGATGTGCCCCTGTTAATTTACGTCTCCATCACTGGGAATAGCTCCTTATCTCCTTTATCTGGGTGCCTTGGCAGTTTATGCACTTCAATTAAATCTCACCCTTCTTTGTTCCAAAGGGAAAGGAAATGCGATATATCTAATTGTTTCTTCAGAGTTAAAATTTCTTTATTCTGTTTTGTTAGATCAATTAGATTCTTGTTGGAGATAGTCATTGCTTAACATGAAGGTTATTTATCACTTATTCCAAGCCTGTCAGGTGGTATTGGGCTTGTGGGAATGAATTGCTTCAACATCTGAGAGGTTGTTAATGGTACTAATGCAGTGCAGTTATTAATGGACATTCCTACTTATGAAATTTAAAAACAGAATTCTGGAGAAATTCAGCAGGTCTGGTAGCTTCTGTGGAGTGAGAAACAGATAACATTTCAAGTCCAATATGTGACCCTTCATCAGAACTGAAGACCTTTTATGATGGAGGAAAGTTATTAATGAGACAGATAAAGGTACCATAAGATGTTAATCTGAATAATAGTAATGTCACATGATTGAGATAATTGACCTTCCACAACCACAACCATTTTCCACAGGAGAGGTTTCCTTACCACCTTCAGTTTTGCTACAGCTTCTTGATGCCTTACTCAGGTGAGTGTTGTCGTGGTGTCAAGGGCAGTCATCCTCACCTCATCTTTGGAATTCACCTCTTTTATTCATGTTTGGTCAAAAGCTGCAGTGAGACCCGAAGCAGAGTGGTACTCCTGGAACCCAAGGTTGGGGAGCAATGAGCAGTTATTGGACCCTATCTGCCATTTGATAACACTGTTGATGACCCTTTCCATTATTTTGATGACTGAATGGGCACCGTGTGGTCAGATTGTATTTGCCGTTTTGTTTTAGGCATAATATTCCTGGGCAGTTGTATTCATTGTCAGGTGCCTACAGCAAGTGCTAAACACCAGACAGGCATGGAATAAGTGGCAAATAATTTGTGCCAAACAAGTGCCGTTTGGAGACTATCTCCAACAAGAGACAACCTAACAACTTTCCTTTAGATGTTCAACTATTACTGAATCACCTGCTATCAACGTCCTATGGGTTAAATTAACCAGAAACCTTAACTGGACCAGGCATACACGTTGTGTGGCCGCATTGATTACAGACTGGAAATACTGCATCAGGTAATTTGCCTCCTGACTCCCCATTGCCTGTCGAACAACTTTTAAAGCACAAGTCAGCAGTATGAAGAGATACTTTAGACTTTCCTCTGTTCAATAGTTCAAAGCCATCCAGATAAAGCTTGTTTGGCACCATATCCACCATTTTAAATATTCACTCCCTCCATCACCAGTGCTCTATGGAAACAGTGTGTACCATTTACAAGTTGCACTAAAGTCCTACACCAAGGTTCCTTTTGATTGTATATTCCAAATCTACAGTCTATCCCACCTAGAAGGACAAGGCCAGCAGGCATATGAAAAAACCATTGCAAGTTCACATTTTAAATTGCAGAGCATCCTGACCTCAAACTATCACCAATCCTTTACTGCCTGGATCAAAATGCTGGATCCTATCAGCATTGTGGATTTATCTAAAACAGACAGACTGCAGCGGTTCAAAAGGCTGGTTCAACGCCACCTTCTCAAGGGCAATTAAAGATGGGCAATAAATGTAAGCTTTGCTAGGGAAGTTGGAATCTGATGACTGGAAATGAGAATGCCCCTGCTTTCTTATTTCATGCCTCTGCTAATAAAGGAAAGTGTTCTATATGCGGTTCTTCTTCACTTTTTATCTAGTTTCCCAACTTCCTTCAGGGATCCTTGGACATGCATTCGAAGGTCCTGTTTGTTGCGCATCCCTAATTGCCCTTGAACTTAAATGGCCCATTGGGCCACATTGCTTTGGGCCTGGAATTGTGTTTGGTCCAGATCAGAAGAGGATGTCAGATTTCTTTTTCTAAAGTCAAAATGCAATCTGTCAAAGTCAGTATGGTTTTATAAATTGTGGTTGATTAACTTGCTGGAATTCTTTGAAGATGTAACTAACAAAGTGGATAATGGGGATCCTGTAGAGGTAATGTATCTGGATTTCCAGAAGGCATTTGATAAAACGCTATACAAAATGTTAATACACCAAGTAAGATCACATCGGGTTAGGGGTTAAAAATTAACTTGGATAAAGGATTGGCTAATTAGCCAGAGTAGAGGTTCAGGATAAATGGGTCTTTTTCTGGTTGGCCAGATGTAACTGGTGGGATGCCAAAGTGTTCAGTCCTCGTGCCCCAGCTATTTACATTCTATATGAATGACTTAGGCATAGGGATAGAAAGTACAGTTGCCAAATTTGCAAGCAACGGTAAAATAGGCAAGAAAGTAAGTTGTAATGAAGAAATGAAAAATTTACAAATGGATCTGGATGAATTGGCCAACATTTGGCAGATGAAGCTTAATGTAGATAAGTATGAGGTTCTCCATTTTGGTCAGAGGAATAGAAAGGCAACTTGTCTAAATGGACAGAAACTTCAGAGTGCTTCAGTGCAGAGGAATCTGGGTACCCTCGTACATGAATCGCAGAAAACTAGTGTGCAGGAATAGCAGGCAATAAGGAAGGCAAATGGAATTTTGGCATTTATAGCTAAAGGAATAGAGTATAAAAATAGTGCAGTGTTGCTAAAACTGTACAAGCTGAGACCCCAACTGGGAATATCGTGTATAATTTTGGAGGAATACAGTTTCATTGGAGGCAGTTCAAAGGGGATTCACTAGATTAATTCCAGAGATGAAATGTTCATTGTATGAAGCGAGATTGAGCAGCTTGGGGTGATATTCTCGAGTTAAGAAGAATGAGAGGAAATCTAATTGAGGTATGCAAGATGTTAATGGGGATTGACAAAGTAGATGTAGAACAGATGCTTTCCTTTTATGGGGCAATCTAGACTTTTAGAATGAGGAGAAATGACTTCTCTCAAAGGGCTGTGAATCTGTGGTATTCAACATTCCAAAGTGCAGTCGATGCCAGGACACTGAATAAATTTTGAGGAGGAGATAGACTGATTTTTACTTAGTAATGCGTTGAAGGATCATGGGGAGTGGGCAGGAAAGTAGACTTGAGGTGGAGATAAGATCAGCCATAACCATACGGAATGGTGGAGCAGGCTTGAGGGGCTGACTTACCCACTCCTGAACCTAGTTCTAATGTTCCCAGACTGTTAGCCAGTGTCTCCCTGATTGCTAGTGCAACATTACAATGCCCTCCAATCCCTATGTTTATGTCTACTTGCGTTTTTGGAATGTATATATTTAGTTGAATAAATGGAATGTAACTATCAATTGTCCGTTTTAAATTAATGATCTGGAACAAAGTGATTTTCAACTTAATTACAAAATGTATCAACAGTGCAATTATTTAAGTGAAGAATTCTTTAAAAAGGCACGTTTAGCTCCTTGTGGAGAAGCAAAAAGTAGGTAAAGGCACTGTCTAAGGAAATGGAGCTGTGCCATGCGGATTAGGTGTAGCTGACCTGTGCAATGACAGAAATTGGGATGTTTCAGTTGGCCCTGGAGTCTCTTGGATAGGCACAGCCAGCAGCTCTGGAATTGTCTTGATTTGTGCACAGTCACAGAGGAGGAGAGGGGAGGGATATTCATGCCTGTTGAAATAACTTGCCTCAAAAAAAAGATTCTTGGCTTCTTCGTCAAATGCCAAAGAATATTTGTTAATGGCTTAGCTTTTCCAGTCAGACTGCTCCAGTAGAATTTAATGTAATGTGAATGAGCAAAATGATTGTTTCATTTTGGAGCTGTGGGGGAACAGGTGTCCTGTGCATTAGATAATTTCTGTCAAGCTCCTGTCTTATTGGTCTAACAAACTCCAATTCTGATCTTTATTACTGAGGTGGCAAAGTACATTTGGGATGTGGGAGACAAGATGGGTGGTGGGATTTCAGTGGCACGATCGTAGCATAAGTGAATTTGTAATCCAAGGGCTTAGGCCAATGCTCTGGCAGCATGGGTTCAAATTCTGGTGGAATTCAATTAAATCGATTATATTGTAACTAACATCCTTTTAGGGAAGGAGGTGTGCTGTACCTCGTCTGGCCCACCAGTGACCTGGGAAGCATGGTGGCTTGGTGGTTAGCACTGCTGCCTCACAGTGCCAGGGATCTGGGTTCAATTCCATCCTCCAGCAACTGTCTGGGTGGAGTTTGCAAATTCTCCCTGTGTCTGCTTGGGTTTCCTCCGGGCGCTCCGGTTTCCTTTCATAGTCCAAAGGTGTGCACGTTAGGTGGATTGGCCATGCTAAATGGCCCACGGTGTCTAGGGATGTGCAGGCTAGGAGAGTTAGCCATGGGAAATGCAGAATTACAGCAATAGGGTAGGGGGTGGCTCTGGGTGGG